TTTTGAACTTCTGACTTCCAGATGAGAGAAATTCCTATTGTTTTAAGCCACTGGGTTTGTGGTAATTTGTTAGAGCAGCCATGGAAAACTAATACAGGAACAAAAAGTCCAAGATTTTGCAAGTTAGAGAAAGTTAAATGTACCAACCACTGACTTAATCCTACCAAATACTGTTGTGTGATTATGACATTTAGCAATTCTTGTGTCAAGAGAGTTAGCAAGAGAGGCTCTGGGGTCAAGAACACTGCAGCTAATGAAAGAGTTCATTCTTCCTGGCATCCTAAACCAAGCAGCAATTCCACAGCCTCTGAATTTGGTCACTTTGGGGCAACAGTGGGTCTATGCAGGAATTAACTTTGACATACAAAGAAATACAAATCCATTCTTTATGGTGTTCACTGTGCAGCAGTAAAATTTTCTGAGTGCCTATGTTTCTCATCCTGAGTCCCCAGGTCTCTAGAAGTTCTNCAGTAAAATTTTCTGAGTGCCTATGTTTCTCATCCTGAGTCCCCAGGTCTCTAGAAGTTCTCAAGGTTGATGTAAATGTTCTGAGCTTTGGGCATGAATTATATGTTACATCTTAGATATACCATGACAACTAGGTACTCTGATTAGAAGTTATAGATGTCTCACAGGAAGATGGCAAAATAATTGCATGGGACCTGGCCGAAATATGCAAAGGAACTTGGATTGCATTCCAAATACAGTAGGGAAGCCATGGGAGAGTATGACACAGGGGAGGGAGATGATTTGAACTGTATTTATGGAGATCACCCTGGCTACCCTGTGTGGGCGGTCGTAGTGATGGAGAGGTAAGCTCAGTGGTCCAGGAAGAGATTGTGTTGTCTTATGTGGTCAGCGCAGCAGTGAGAAAGCCAGCACGCTGGAGGTGGCTTTGGAGGCAGACCTACATTAGTGTGATTCACTGGAGTGAGGGGCGCAGGACAGGGGCGCATCACGGGTGACTCCCGAGGGTCTTGCTACGTGAGTTAGGAGATGCTGTCAGGGGAAGGCGTCGGTGGGTGGGGCTTGTTTATGGGGGGTGTGGATCAAGCCTTCAGCATAGGAAATATTATGTTGACAAGTAACTGGAAATAACAGGTAGGCAGGTTGATAGAGATGGCACTTAAGCTACGCCAGTGAAAAGGAGCAAAATCTTAAGTGGTGGTATAGTAAGCTTATTGATTATTTAAGTAATCAATTGATTATTTAAGTAATTTGGTAAGGACAACTGCCTCTCTCTCTCTCTCTCTCTCTCTTACACACATACACACACACACGCACACAGCAGCCAAACCACAACTTGCCAGGGCTTACTGGACAGCATGTGGAGTCACTGAATATCTAGTGGTAATCTAAGTGGGAAGAAAATTAAATAATCAAAGTTGAACCTTTATTCTAAAAAACGCTAGGTGTAACCCAATGATTACACTGCTTTTTCTTTCACCTTTGGTACTTTTCTTTAAAATCATGCTGTATTGAGTACATGAAAACACACCAATGAGAGGTGATAAATTGCTAGATAATTGAAATTGAAGATAAAAATTATGGCAGGCATTTAAAGATTATAGCTATGA